CCACGAGGGGACCAAGACGGCCCACGAGGCGCCCAAACCGCCCAAGAACGCCCCAAGGCGGCGCCCAAGACGGGGACGAGGAACCGGAAATTCGCGCCTTTTGGCCCAAGAGACCCCCAGGAGACCCCAAGAGGCTCCAAGAACGGACCCAGAAACACCAAGAGGCCCCCATGACACTCGAAAAAAACCAAAAGAGGCCCCGATGACGCCCCACGAGGTACCCCAATAGAGCCCCAAATAAGCAAACATCGTCGATTTCCTATAGAACTGACATTTGTGGCGTGTTCGCCTTTTGGGCTGCCACTGCGTCCAAGACGGCCCAAGAGGCACCCCAAGCCCGTCGAGGATACCCCCTAGAGGGCCCCAAGACGGCCCACGAGGGGACCAAGACGGCCCACGAGGCGCCCAAACCGCCCAAGAACGCCCCAAGTCGGCGCCCAAGACGGAGACGAGGAACCGAATATTCGAGCGCGTTGGCCCAAGAGGCCCCCAGGAGACCCCAAGAGTCTCCAAGAAACGCCCATGAAGCCCCAAGAGGCCCCCAAGAGACCCTAAGCACCAAAAGAGGTTCCGAAACAGCCCCCCAATGGGCCCCCAAAAACGGCCCAAGAGAGCCCCAGGGCGTGCCCAACAGGGTCGACCAGAGAGCTGGTCCGACTTTCCACACTCTACACGGGGTCCGTCCCTGGCGGTGCCTCAAGCAGGCGTTGCCACTGGAGTCCTTCCTCATTTGCCTGAGACAAACTCAAAACATTGTTTCGCACAGCGATTCCTGTGTCTGTGGCACGCTAGAACCTAAGCGCGCGAAGCGCGCGCGTGGTTCTAGTATAATAATATCTATAAGCCAACCCATGCTCTGAGGGGCAGTGTTCCACGAGTCGGCTCGTCAAAAAACTGGTGGTGATCACTATGACCGTCACTCCGCGCGGATTATAATTATGGCTGGCTTTCTAAACCTTACCCTGAGGGCCGACGTTGAGGAGTTGGCTGGATGCGCTGGGGAGGTACCCACATGCAGTCTGCAGCACCCTGTGGCGGGGGACAAAAGGCTGCCCTGCACCACGAGAACATCGAAGGATCCGCTTGGACAGCGGAATCACACTCAGGGGAACGGCGATTTTCAGCAGCCAGGCTTGAGTACCCTGGTGGGGCCAATCCCTGCCCCCCTGACTGCCCAAGGAGCCTCGCCAGGTGGAGCCCCGAAGGGCAAGACCCGAAGGTCGACCACCAGGCGGAGCCTCTGGGCAGAAGGAGCGCAGGCATTCGCCCCACCACGGAGGAGGAGGGAGGAGGAGAGGAGACTCCGTCTCTCAAACACAGCCCAAAAGAGCAGCTCTGTTCAAGCCGGGGCGGCGGGGTCGCACAGCGTTCTCAGTACAGCGCGTACACGACGGACGATTCGCAAAAGGAGGTACCATACATGCTTTCGTCGCCTCCGAGCCTCGCCACGATCTGGTCGCCACACTCGGTCACGGCACAATCGAAGTTCACAAAGCAATCGTCTAACTTGGCCCTCCACCCCCAAAGATGCAGGACTACGAGCGCCCAGACTTTAACCACAGTGCGGGCCGATGGGGAGTGACGGGCAGGTTGGCTCAGAAGCTGTCCAAGCCGCGAGTGTCTTGAATTCGATACTGCCGCCCCCTCTCTGAACCAATACACACGCTTTACCCCCCCCCAAAAAAAAGGGCCCCGAGGCCGCGACCCCCAGTAGCAGCCGAAGGATCCGCGCCCCCGACGCCCCCAGGCGCCCCCCAGCGATCCCAAGCGCTCCCGGGACGCCCAGGCGTCCCCGGGCAGCGCCGGGCGCTCGCCAGGCGGCCGAAGGCGCTTCCAGGCGCGCCCGGGAAGCCTCCGAGAGGCTCCCCGACGCTCCACGGGCGCCCCGGGCGCTCCTCGGCAGGCCCACGGCGCTGGCAGGCGCGCCCCCAGGAGCCCCCAGGTCGGCGGTGGGCAAACCTCCCCTTTTGGCAAACCTCCCCTCGGTGAGAACGGCCTGGGACCTCCCTTTTGGCAAACCTCCCCTTTTGGCAAACCTCCCCTCGGTGAGAACGGCCTGGGACCTCCCTTTTAGCAAACCTCCCCTTTTAGCAAACCTCCCTTTTGGCAAACCTCCCCTCGGTGAGAACAGCCTGGGACCGAAACCGACTGACCTGGGCCCGCAAAAAATGACGGCCGCGACGCCCGCTCGCGAACCGAAGTCGGCCAATTCCTCCATCGACGTGTCAGGGTAGGGGGCCTAGTATCTCCGACCAGACTTTCAGGCGCCCTGGCCCCCCACCCACCCACCGCACGGCGGTCGCGTTGCTGGTTGTCGTTTTTCGTTCGTCGCTCGTCGCCCGTCGCTCGCCGTCCTTCGTCAGTCGGTCGTCGTTCGTCGGTCGTCGTTCGTCGTCCGTGTGTAGTCGTTCGTCGTTCGTCGTTCGCCGCCGTTGCCGTTCGCTTACAGTCGCGCAGCGATACATCCGCGGGGAAGTGCGACGCATGTCATCTTCCCCCT